TGTGTGTGAGTGTGTGTGAGTGTGAGTGAGTGAGTGTGTGTGTGTATATGTCCTGCAAAAAGAGCCCCATGGCTGTGAGGTTTTTCCATTACGATCTTTTGAACATTAGCGCTCACACAGTCACATTTCTGAGTCACATCGACCCACAGCTAAAAACAGACGCATCCAACACCAACTGCACACTGCAGTTAAAGATATATGCACATAAATGTATAAGTAGATCATAAAATCTTTGGTGTCTGTAGGTTTGACCATCTAAACGGGCTTTTTAGGGCATGACAGTGCAATATTTCACTAAAAATAGATGTGTGTGAACTGTAAAATACATTTAGAAGCATGCAAAAAAAATCAATAAATACAGTAAATAAAAAAATGTATTCTAATTTTAAGACGTCTTAAATTTGTGGATGAAAACAGGAATTGCAATATAACCAGCAATCACTAAATAGCATGCATTTATGCCAAAAGAGCGCTTATAATTTATTGTTGATGAATTATGACAATGTTTATTCATGGTGTCTATATTGTAATATTTTGTAGACGGTTGTAGTAAAGCATTGACGTTTCAAAATAAGAGTCCCATAAATAATGATTGCATTGAAACAATTTTCACTTAGAAATTGCTAGTAAATTTCATAAGCGGTTACAAAAACGCACATCGAATTAAACGTGGAATTCTGAAAGACTGAAATATTATTTTCTGTTATAATCTGTTGCATTCACAACTTGTTTACAGTATATTTTGGGCTTGTTTATAACTAAAAGTCTATTATTTAATACCTTTTCACTGCATCCTTAGTTTTTTACCGTGCTCCTAAAATACTCAACTTCTTATGTTGCTTTTGAGAAACACAACTCAGATAAAATGATCAACCAGTCGAACACAAGTGCGTTTGTTCATAATCCTACACAATAAAATATGATTTAGCCATTAGAACGTCTTTGTTTTTGTCCATTTCATCATTTCTGTCATGATTGCATGAGCATTTAGAGTTTTAACTTGCTGGTAAAGAAAGTGCAATGAACTTTGGCAGCACTTTACAAAAGTAGGGCAGCATCTAACCTGACGTTTCAAGTTTAGTAGGTGGAAATGTTTTACGGCATATTTCCTCTTCCTGTTTATATAGGAACTGAGGCAGCAATATCTTATTTAGCTTGAAGAAATACAGAAGACAATGCAGAAAGCTCTTGAGAAAAGTGAAACAAACCTAAAATCACAGGTTATGACGGAAAGGTAATGTTATGATAACGCAGAATCTGCATAAATATAAGAGATAACATGCAGTGTCTGTTATCTCAGTTTCATGTCGTGAAACGAACCGGATGGACAAACGCAAGCTCTAAAAGCAGGATAAAGCCACAGTCAATCTGAAACTAACAGCCTGCAAAAAATAATCTGCTTCATTCATGGGGTTTTCAGAAAGAAAGCGTTTATGCATCAGATTTATGACGGAGTGACTTTACAGCAAAGTGCATTTGCTTTGTCCTCTAGTCGTGCAAGAGATTGTTACGCAAGTTTACATTAAACGTGGCACTACTTATTATAAATGAACACAATGCTGCTCCTGGTCCCAGATCAGACTCCAGCCGGCCTGCAAAAACTCTCCTAAATCTGATTTATTTCTGCTAGAGCTTACAAGTCTTCAAGTTCTCTCCATGCCCTGCGTCTCACAAGAACGTCTGTATAACTGTGAATACTAAAGCTGGCCATTAAAAGTCAAAGATCTGCTCTCCATGTTCATTTTAAAGCGCTTAACCCTTGCCTTGTGACCCATCTTGGTTCATAATCCAAGCCTAAGTTATCATCATCACATCTCGCCAAATGCAATAATTCAAGAATAGTTCAGAAAACCCAATATCAGTCGAGCGTGCATATGAATATTAAGAGAGAGAGAGAGAGTTTAACATATTGGATAACATGAAAATCTTATGAAACACATTGCATTTGCCTCTTGCTACTAAATAAACGTTTACTAAAACATGTGCATATTGTAAATAAATGACTGAACAATTTACATAAACTATCAAAACACCTCATTTAGAGACTGCATGCACAGATTTCTACTTAAATAATATGCACACTTTATAATAATATTAACTAGGCAATGCAAAATACGTATGATTAAGTAAGAATGATTAAGTATAATCTCTATATAGGGCATGCAAATGATGATCTAGGCTATTTGCTTATACCACATTTTTTTTAGTGTTGTTGTGAAAATGATTTATATTGCTTGTACTATAAAATACCGTGAATGTGTTTGTTTGTGAGCTGTGATGCTGTGGTCGTGGCTTACCGGTAACTGCAGGTGCATCCGCGCTTTATTCCAGGTGTCGGTGAACCGGACTGCGCTCGAGCTCAAACTCTCAGAGCGGGGCGGGGCTGCATGGGAGCTGTCACGTGACAGAGAACAGCCAACCAGAGAGCGGCTTCATAAACCAGTGTTATTGATCTAGTTGGATTATTGATTTGTTTCCTGCTCTATGAAATGCACTTTGTGATGCTTTGACAGTATTGCACATTGAAAATCTGGTGTTTTTCATTCAGGCCAACCCATTTAGGGTTTTGAAAAATAAAACAGAATAGAAAAATAATTAAATTAAATTAAAATAAAGAAACACAAAACAAATATTTCAGATTCTGCGCTTGTTCCATTCTACACAACAACAAAAAAAAAATGTAAACGTAAAACAATCGCTCATAATAAAACGTATGGTAACGAACAATTGTGTATTAAATGATAAAATAATGCGAAATATTGCATTTTCGTACTCCTCTCAGATTTTGGGGTTATTCTAAATAATAATAGGCTATAAACACGAATATAGATATGCATATGAATAATTAAAACCATTGTTTTTTTGCCTGTAAAAAAGTGTCGCAACTAATATAAACATTATAGGTTATTCTAAATGAAATACTGAACAATTTACATAAACTACAAAATCACCTTCAGACCCTCATTTAGAGGCTAAATATCGATATAAATGGATTCTAGAAAACATTAACAAATTCCTATCCCACTGAGAGGTGAAATGGAAATTCTCAGAATTATGAGCGATGTTGCTTTAAAATTAAACATTAAATAATCGTGCGCACTGATTTGATAACGCCATTGACCAATTATATCCAGCCGCTCAGCTCTTTGACCAATGAGCTTAACGCTGCCTTGACGGAAGGTTCACGCCTGCGCTGTTGCATTATGGGTATTGTAGTCTTCCGGGCGCGCGAGTTCAGTGCGGTTCCGAAGAACGAGCGACCATTAAAAACTACAATTTCCTCTGATGCGGCCACGTGTTTTGACGCGCGGTTGCATCAGCGTAAATACTCGGTTCACAGACCGGTTCAGTCGCTTCCAGCGGTGTCTGTCTGACCTGTCAAAGTAGATTCATTCAGGAGCGTCCTAAACTGACAAGAGGGTCAAATGAAACTGTATATCTCCGACGGAAACCCGCACTGTATTAAAGTGCTGGCGGCGCTGGAGCTCACTGGAGGGACATGTGACACAGAAGTGGTCAGCCACGAGGGTGAGAGACATTATCTGCTTGTCATCCAGATATCCAGTCTGTTAGTTTCAGTCTGACTGGTCACAGCATGTTTCTGATAGTAATGCAGCTGTCTATGAATATAGCAAACAAAAAAGCACCATAGTATATATGTATAACATCATATATGTGACCCTGGACCACAAAACCAGTCATAAGTGTCAGTTTTTTTAAATGAATGAATAAATAAGCTTTCCATTGATGTGTGGTATGTTAGGAGAGGACAATATTTGGCTGAGATGCAGCTATTTGAAAATCTGGAATCTGAGGGTGCAAAAAAATCTAAATATTGATAATAAATCATCTTTAAAGTTGTTCAAATGAAGTTCTTAGCAATGCATATTACTAATCAAACATTAAGTTTATGGTAGGAAATGTACAAAATATCTTCATGGAACATGATCTTTATTTAATATCCTAATGATTTTTGGCATAAAAGAGAAATGTATAATTGTGACCCATACAATGTATTGTTGGCTATTGCTACAAATATCCCCCAGCGACTTAACACTGCTTTTGTGCTGCAGGGACACATATCTGTATTTATGGTAATACCACAGTGTGTATTAAAGCACCATGTTTATGTTATTACTGCGGTACGTTCCAGTAGTAAACATAGCTCAGACAAATAATTATATCATTTGTTATTCATGGTAAGTATATAACATCATAGTACTGTATACCATATTTGTATTCGCTGTTATTACTGCGGTACGTTCCAGTAGTTTTGTACGGGTGTATTTGCTCAGTGTGTTTCTTTGTGCTTTCGTCGAACAGAGAAAGTGGTCCCTCACTTCACTCGCCCGGTGTCGCCCGCGCTGCTGTTACCCGACGGCCAGCATCTCTTCAGCCCCAACAGCATCTGCCAGTGAGTGCCCGGCCACACGTTACATTAGAGTCATTACACGCTGAAGAAGACACTTTTATTGGGAAGTAAATGTCTGTCATTTTGTTTTTTATTAAATTTTTTTTTTTT